TCTACGATAGAATCTAGTGAACCTTAGAAAACTCTTCAATTGAGTTTGATATACATGTGCTATACATTTCTGAATGTCATCTATCTTCTCACTCATCACTTGGATTCATGTAGCTGTAACTCTATGACCCAAGTAATCTACTTCTGACTTGCCAAATTCACATTTTGAAGCTTTGATATACAACTGATTGTCTCTTAAAACTTGAATTACCTCTTGTAAATGACTTCTATGATCACTCAAAGTTTTGCTATACACTAATATATCATCTAGAAAAACAATGACAGATTTATCTAGATAAGAGCGAAAGATATCGTTCATCAATCCCATGAATGTAGCTAGTGCATTAGTGAGACCAAAAGGCAACACTAGATACTCAAAGTGTTCATACCTAGTATGAAAAGCTGTCTTGTGGACATCTTCATCTGCAATTCGAATTTGATTGTAGCCGCTTCTCAAATCTAGCTTGGTGAAGTACTTCGCTCTTTGAAGTTGATCAAACAAATCATCCATACGAGGTAATGGATATTTGTTTTTCACTGTTTGCTGATTCAACCCGCGATAATCAATGCATAGTCTCATGGATCCATCCTTCTTCTTCACAAAGAGCACTGGAGCTCCATAAGGTGAAACACTTGGTTGAATGAATACCTTGCTCAACATCTCCTCCACTTGAGCTTTGCATTCTTCCAATTCGTTTGGAGCCAAACAATATGGAGCTTTGCAAGTTGGTGTACTTCCAGGTATAACCTCAATCTTGTGATCTACTCGCCTCTTTGGTGGTAATCCTGCAGGTTGATCATCTGGAAAAACATCTTTATACTCCATAAAAATGTCGTTGAAGGACTCCGGGATGTAAGGTTTGTTCGTGGACCCAATATCTCTTATAAGTCATACATCATCTCTAGAAATGGATGTTGTACCCATCACAAAGAGAGATAAAATCATATTCTGAGATCTAATTCTATCTCCATAGATCTTCCATCCACTACTTGTAATCACTTTTTTTCTCCAATCTACCTTCGGATTATATTGCTCCATCCATGGCATTCCAAGTTTGACATAATATCGAGCTAAACGAATTACTCTCCATTCAATGCTCTTCTGGTATCTACCTATGGATAATTCTACACTCCGTGCTAGTGTTTCTATCATTTAAGTTTGTCCGTTTGGCAATTCAACTTCTTCACTCACGTCTTTCATCAACATCAAACCTAACTTCATAAGAACATTGCTTGATAGAAAATTCTCAGTTGCTTCAGGATCAATTAAAAATCTCACCTTGTGTTCTTCCATGAAACCATAAGTGACAATGAATTAAGCTTGCTTCTTACTCCTTCCATGAGCTCGCAACTATTGCCTTCTTCCAACCTCACCTTTTCTTCGTTTTGTAGAACCAGTAAGGCCGCGAGGCAAGTTTATTGGTGATCTTCGTTTACCAAAACTTCTTCCTCCACCTCTTCATACTCTATCCCCTCCATGTTGTTGAACGGTTGTCGCTGCATGGGCCGTCCTCCTTGGGATGTCGGTCGAATTCGACAAAACTTGGCAATGTGACCCATTCGTCCACATGCTTAGCATTGACGATTGTCACGAACTCCACCTTCTCCTCAAACCATTCCATTATTTGCATAAGCTTCTTGCAAATTTGGAATTCCTTGTTGTCGAATCTCACCTCCAAATCTTGGTGATGGTTCTCTTGTTGGTGCAAAACCTTCTCTACGTCAAAGGTTTCCCAACTCCATCGGTGTTGGATTAGATGGATCTCCAAAATTGCTTACTGGTTCACCGTGTGTGACACCAAAAGCACCCGAAATTTCGTTGAGCAATTGCGATTGCTTCATTCACAATAGATGGATTGCTTACCATCAACTCTTTTCGAATTTGATCCTTCAAGCCTCGTTTGAATACGTTCAAGGCTTCGGCTCCACTCATATCCATGATAGATACTTGAAGATCACAAAATTCTTCAATGTACTCATGAAAACCTCCTTTTTGCTTCAGATCCCACAACTTCATTCTTGCAGTTTGAAGAGAATCCACCGCTTGAAGATGAGAAATCACAACAATGGTTCTACTCTCCCTTATATAGCTCTCACCAACAAGTTCAAGGAGATAAGATCTTATCCCCATCATCCATCCCACTCCTAGTGCATGGATGACGTGGTGGATAACCCTAACAAGCACACGGATCGCTGACGTGGCGGTCCCGACTAACACACTCAATCCTTAACTACAAGCACATGGATTGCTGCCGTGGCACTGTCAACTAACACATCCACTTTGTACCTACCAAGTGCGCGGATCGCTGACGTGTCAGCTATGACTAGTGCACACTAAAGTATCTATATCAATATTTAGAGTAACCTCTACTTTAGTTCTAACTAACTAAAGATGGTTACATGTACTCATTCGGATAATTGAGAAGATTTTTTATGTCCATGGGGATTTTGTAGTGAAACATGATGATTTGATTTTCCATCTCGTGATGACGTTCTTGTCGACGAGATCCTCCTCAGTGGATGATTGTTCAGGCATATCTACCGTGTGTATCTAGTAGTGTATGAAATAGTTCTGGAGGATTTTGTTATTGGCGTTTGTGGTCCAAGCCGGAACGGCAAACCTAATGGCTTGTTGTACTTCTATCTTCTTTGCCTACTCAACGACATCTTCAGAATGCTCTAGGAGCAGTTGGGTTGAAGCGACGGTTGTAATAGGTCTTAAAATTGTGAATGATGTCGACGTTGCATGGCTGGATCTTGGAAGTCATGTTTGAAGTAAGCTAGCAAACAGTGGTGTGTCTCAACTCAATGCAAGCAAAAAATTTGTCAAGGTATATGTGTGCGGTGCAGTATTTGAGAATTAAAAGTACTTTGAGGTTCATAACATGAAGTTCAAACGCTTTTAGCCACTCCTAAAAGATGATCTGCGTCATCCAAACCTTTGAGTTGCTGTAATATTTGCAGCCAAGGCTATCATGGTTGATGTGCTTGAAGCACCAAATATTCTTGTATTTTCCTATGACCCAAAGCGGGAGCTTGTTCGACCCATCTCCATTGCAATAGAGATTAATGGTAAGCCGCTCTTTGTTTTGTTTGCGTACTTCAAGTTGCTATATGACAAGGGAGTTATCGGCCTTTAGCGGTAAGTGCTTAAGGTTAGTGGATGCAAAAGGTAAGATCTAAAACTCGAACACCATCAAAAGCGCAAGTGCCAAACTTGCATGTGGTAGAAGAGGCCAATTTCATCCATGTTATAGATGTAATTCCAGACGTACTAGTCCAGCAACTGCCGGATTTCCGAGAGTACAAGGTTGACAGTGTCCATGTGCACCGAGAGCTCTGTGCACATCCAGAAAAGATGGAAGGAATTGATTCCATCGAGGAGTTTGAATGCTTCCAGCCAACCATACGAGAACTCAAATGGTTCATGACCCGGATGCAAGCGATTCAAGATCTTTAATGACATTCTCCTTAATGAGGTCCCAAGTGATTGAGACGTGTTCCTGGTATGCAAGGATCGAGTCCGCGAGCGCCTTTTCCATCTCCCCATATTTGACTGTACGCCGGAGTTTGCTGCGAACGTTGGGATCCTCACGCCCTTCAGTAGATTAGCCGAGCGCTTCAGGGTTTGAGATATCGTTGGTTGGCTGACTTCAATGTTGTGCTTCGATTTCATCCAGCGATGGAGTTCGGCCTGCGAAAGCGAAGGGTTTGATTCCTTGTGAATCCACATATCAATGCGGACTTTGTCCGTCATTGTCCTGTGTTTCCCGCCTTTCTTCGGGTAGGTGGTTTTTTATACAATATTGATAATCTCTCAAGAAAGTTATCTAGGTTGAAAATGTTCATGAAACCTTGTGGATTATCGGGGTTCTAAGATTTCTGGATCATGCTCCTATCCAGAGCTAGCTCTACCCGTCCTGAACATGAACTATCTAACCCTTTTATATGTCGGAGACTTGACTCCTGAACATGAACCATCTAAGACTCTTATACGTAGGAGACTTGACTAGTTAGGTCCGCCTCGAGTTGTACCCTACCCAAATGATATCTAATTCAATACCCACATACCGGTTCGAACATTATTGTTTTAGACGGTTTTACTGTAGATGCGTCCACATGCGGCTTTGCACGCCTTTTGCTTTGATATAAAGAGCTAAAAACTTGTGCTTGTAAGTGTATTTCGAACTCAGTACTGTATACTCTATTATGTGACGTTGATTTATCGTTTTACCATGACAACACAACATAAATTCACGTAAAGAGATTTTGGAAGTATAATCGAAGTTTTTAGAATTCCTAGCACCAGAAGTTATCTTAGTTATCTTACATTTTTTACTGAAATGTAGAATAATCTGCATTTAGATTTCTTGCAATTTCTCATATTTGATCATGTTATCTCTATCCACAGTTTGTTGCTACGACAAAATGGAACTCCCGTCGTCATTGGACGACGATCTTGTACTTTACTCGGCTAGAATTTCAAATCAGCTGCCACAGCTCAAGAAAAGAGCTCACATGCAGGGAAGGAGACAACAGTCGTGAATGCATACTAGAACATCGATGATTATCACTCAATGTTGCAATAAGCTGCTGCTCTGCTGCTTACTGTAAACCAGAGGTAAAAGATGCGATCCCTGGGTCCCAGCTATCTATATCTTTCCCATTTCCTTGAACTGATACTGGAGATTATTTCCTACTTCCGTGGATTACGTCAACACATCTTGAGAAGAAAATGAAAGATCTCTGTCCATTTGATTGCGGATGCCCAGTCTCAAGAACAGAGTTGGCAATTCCAGTTAACTCAAACAAGTCAAGTTCAACTTCTGAAACTGGAAATCAGAGTGTGATATCAACGACCACAAACTGAACACTCAAATAACTGAAAGGATTGTGGTGCGTATTGCATCTGCAATTGAAATTCGGGTGACCGATTGAAAAAAGATTGTGGATGAGTGTCATAGTGCCCTCTTGACGATGGGTGGTGGAAACCTGGAACTTGATAACGAAGAAAATGGCACAACGTTGATAACACTTTTGTTCAGACATTGATCAGTCGTAATACACATCAGAACGATGATAGATATGGCATTCGGTTTCGAAGCTATAATCTTGCAATCGCCGACTAAGGTCACCATGCATCACGTGTAGAGCTCTTTTCTCCATGTCTCTTCCCTGACATGTCAACCTACGACGCCTAGAATGACAACTCAATCCGCTAGCCTTACTTTCTGGTGTATTGTCACCTCCGAGCGCATCATTGTGCGGCCGGTCCCCTTTCAAGATCTTCGCGTCCACGCCGCATTTCTCAGGGGATTCCTGCACCGGAGCTCTGTTGCAATTTCATTGGTCGCTCAAGGCTCGGAAGCAACTCTGCCACCCACCCGTGGGTTCTCATCAATTTTGAAGGCAGCCGTGACCGGGACTCATAAACTGCATGCGCATCCAACTCATCCAGCTGGTCCCACCTTCGATGTCCATGGCCTCCACCCCCACCCCCACCAAAAACAAGACAAAGCCTCCTTCTGGAACTCCTCAGCGTTTCAAATCGGCGGCCCAAAGCTCGGATGCGAGCCTTCCGAGGAGATTAGACTCATCGAATTCAGCAGAGAGCGGAGGAATAATCTTCAACTCCACGAGCCGGCTGCGTCTGCTGTGAAAACGTAGGAAATTGTGTACAATCGTCGTGAGTATCCGGAGCCCTTCGTCGCCTCGAGCCGGAGGTTCGGATGCAAGTCCGTCATGCATAACTATAATATTATAATCGCATTAGAATTGCAAGACCGAGTCCGAGATAGGACAAGGTCAGGGGATCCCTTTTGCTTCAGAGATCGATAGGATTACAACTATAGCCAGCAGCAGCTGTATGGGTATCGAGAAATTTCGATTCAGTTCGTCGTCTGCGCCTCTCATCTTCGTTGTCAGCAGATCAAAGGTGCCCCGAGAGAGTACTTGGCGAGCCGCCTCTGTGAAGCCACCCACGATTCCATGAAGGATGAGTTCGTCGTCGAAGGGCTGGGCTTCTTGTAGGAATAGATGGGTCGACGTTTATCTTCGTTCTCTTCGAAGCTCGCGGATGACTCGCAGTGGTGGGTGATGGCTCTCGCGCTGCAAACGATCACCAGCGTGATGAGCAGCACGATGACCATAGCAAAACAGAACTTCTGCATGATGCTCATGGAATCCGAGAGCTCCCTGATCCAAGTGGTGACGGTGGCAGTGACCGACAGTTGCGAGCCGCTGTCATCCAGAATCAGCGCGAAGTCGCTCTTGACGATTTTCGCGCACACTTTGTAGACCTTCGCGACTAGGGTTCCTAAACTACATGTCACTGCGCACGCCTCGGCAATTGGCATCTCTCCTCCTCTGTCCTATTCCGTTCTCCTCGTCTTCCAATTTCACACCTCGCTAGCTGAGACCGAACACCTTGAGCACCGTGAGAATCACGACCAAAAGTGCCACCGCGTATACCATGCCCAGGGACATCCTCTGATACAGCCAGTCGACGGACATCTCTCGAAGGAAACTCAAATTTTTTTTCGCCCCGGAAGTCTGCGACGATTGTCAGCACGAGGCAGCAAATTTTATGGTACTAGAGCGAGGACAATCAAACACGAGACGAAACGACATACAGAACATACAGAATTGCTGAAGAGCAAAATTTCTGGAGAGTGTCTTGGAGGACGAGAGGAGATGGAAGATTTCTGGCGACGCGAGTGATTGCTCTTCCCGATCGGTGTTGGTTTTGGCTCGAGCGTGACCGATCCTTCTTCCTCCTCAGGCCTCACGACACTGCTCCAAACATGTGAGAATCACTCTCAGTTATAGGCGTCCACGGAGCACGGTCAGTGGGAGCCAGAGGTCCAAATTTAGAGACCGCATCCTAAAATCTTTAGCGAATCTCTTGCCATGCCCTCGATAATGGATCTTCTGATGCAAGTCTCCTGTTGCCCAACGCGTCATAGAAGCGTCCTTAGTACGAGACTTGCACTGGAAGCGCGGCAACAAGTCGTAGTCACAGAAAAGGCTGACGCTCCCATAGCTCACATCTTTTGCTCCTCGCGAGGAGAAGTGCTCGACGATGCCCGTGGCCTCTTTCTTGCAGCGGAGCGCGAATCAACTCTCGAATCCTTGAAAGGCTAGCAGTACTCAGATTCCCTACAGTAGCATCAGCAACCACGTCGCCATGGGAGCACCGGAGCTATTGTTAGATGATATTTCGCAGCCAGCAGCTCGCGGTTGCTGCATCTCATTTGACCTCCGGTGCCTACAAGTGTCGTGCAAAACCTGCATCACTGTTTCCAAACCGTCATCCCGTAGCAAAACTCTTTTATCCTCGCAGCCAGCAGTCGAAAACCTGCTTGAAGCCTTGTGAGAATATCGAAAATCGGATGGCTTTGCAAAGCCATCCTAATTTGCTACTTTTGCAAAACCATCCTGCTTCCTAACCATGGTCGAAGAATTTTCTGCATTTTCTTTTAGTTCTTAAACCGATACGTCATAGCTTGCTGACAAAGAGTTCGAGGGCCGTGCGGTTACTGGGAGTCAACTTCGAATTCATGGCTGACTTGTTCCATCACTCACGGTTTCTACTCCACCGTGGATCGTTACAATGTTCAGGTTGCAGATTCTGCACTTAGGCTATGAAGAATGATGTGTGACGCGTCCAAGACAATGCCATTATATTAGTACGGTCTTCAGTCCATTCGGAACCATTAGGGCTGCGTCAGATCGACGTTCTGGCACTCAGAGCTTTTGAAGCTCTGAAGTCAGTTCAATCCTAGCTTTGTCCAATTCTGTGATCACGATCAGGACCTCTGGTCGTTATCACGTATGTGATCTAGATTGTTGCTGAACCTGCTTGTGGAGGAGTAACGCAATTCATGTTCTTCATGTGAGATGGCGTTGTTTCGTGTTCGTTTCAGGGCTTTTCATGGAGCACTATGCTCTGGAATGATCAAATTACACTATCAGTAAGTGCAGAATCGAACCATCTCAAATCAAGTTCAAGGATGTGATCCAAAGTTTCTGCGGAAGGCTAAACCGAAGGCAGAACCACTGATTGTACCAAGTTGTTCAAACACAGATCACCAGTCTTCGATGGGCCGATTGAGTGGTCCTGCCTTCAACGGCATGACTGTCATTTGTAGGTTCAGGGTTTTAAGCACTTGCAGAGCATAGCTACTCTCGAACAAATTCTATTGCAGGTAGTTTGACAGAAATCTTTGAGAGGTAGAAGGTAGGTATGCCGTTCCAAGGAACCTAAAAATGCTTCTATTGTTATCAATTCCAGTATAAATGCGACCAACTCCTACATGCCAGAGCAGTGGAGTGTGATCCTCCTCAACTCTGATCGTGGATCTGTGATGCTAATACAAGAGTCATGACAATCATCCTGTCACAGTCCTCCAGTGGCCAAAGTTCAGGACGAGATAAATTGATCGTGCGTCGTGCACACTCAACGCAATCCAGAAAATGGTTCGATAGGACAGTACCTTTGAGATAACACATGATACTGACAGGAGCAAAAAGTTGCGACGTGTCTCGACAGCATGAAGGGAAGGATATCCGTGCATCAAGTTGAGAGTCTTGAGTCGCTTAATAAAATCCTGATTGTCCAGATTGACAGCGGATCTAACGGGGAATGTCCAGAGAATATCCAGAGTCACTCCGGACAGGGCGAAGTCAAAGAAGCGACAGCGAGAAGTGCCGAATACGAACGATACTGTTCGGTCTTGTTTTCATAAATATCATAACAAATGATAAATCAAAACAAAATCTGCAATTAGACAAGATGCACATTTATAAAAAGGGTAGTTGGTATGCTTGTTGTTCAGCTGTGACTGAAATGTCTTGAAGAGGTATGATCACTAAATTGTATTCATAAGCTAACGATACCCCATCCTAGAGACGATTCGTCCATCATGCCTATCCACAAGGCCCAACAAAGGTCCAATCTTAAGATGTGGAAGACGGCAATGCTCGAGCACAAGGACAGGTGCACTCAGCAGCAGCGTGTAGTTCATGTCTTGCATGTGGCTCCTATCATTCATTTTGCTTGCTTTGTACCTCAGTCCATTTGCTTGCATCGCGCTTTTATTCTGTGCGTCTCATTTTGCATGTTCATATCACATGTACACTATGGCTGAACGCTGAATTCGATACGTCTCAAAGGTCCCAGCTTCGCCGCCTGATCCACAGAAACCGCTCTGCCCCAACCTCACTTCCGGTTGCTAATGCTACTCTCGCTCCCTGAAGACCATGACAACTTTCCGACAACATCATCACCATTCGTGTCACATTTTTTACGGAAGCCGTGAGTTGAAGACTTTATCAAGAGGCTACAGGGCTCAAATAAGATTTATGTACTGTGGATCCTGCCCATCCTCCGCTACTGGTTCGTAGGTCTTGGCAATAATGCTACGGTGGTTTTCCTATTTTCACAAGCAATCTTTTCTAGAACGATGTTGCCTTGTATAACTCACGTAGATTGAACGCCGATAGGTGTTGAAGACTTCTCCGTTTAGTGTAGACTTCTTCTCAGTTTTGGAGAAAGATTTTTATTTTTAATTTGTTATGGTTACATTAATAACAGTTGCAAGTGGTTTGGAAAGTTCTATTATTTATATCCTTCGATGGAATTTTATAAAAGAGAGAGACAGATAGCATCCAAGCATAGAACTACGTAAAGATTTGAACCCTTTGTTAATTTAAGTTTGTAGTAATGCAAAGCTATTAATCGTCAATCGTTAATGGGAGAGCCTATCATATTAAACATGATGTATCATTCTCCTTAGCATGTTAATAGTATACTTTAGGTGAAATGTACCCATTGTTTTGTATGTATCACTAGTAATGCATTCACGTGAAGTAACTATGTTAGTAGATTATGCTTGCGAGGTTAATGTAGTATATGGACCATATAAACTAAATTTTTATGATCTTTTAAGTGCACACCGAAGTCATTTAGTCACATGGAACTGATTCATTAAATATCGAGAACCAAGTACATATCCCATCCCAGATCCTTGTTGTAATTTGTTGTATTTTGGTTCTGGCAACATTGATGTAAGTCACTCTTGGCCACTTTGTGAATGTATGAGTTAATCAACCACAGGAAGTACTTTGATGATGATGGGATGATAAGCTGATACGTAGGATAACTACATCAAATTATGGTGAATCCCGTCACATTATACATTTCAAAATCACTGCTAGCATTTTAGACGTGCTGGACCAGGTCCACTCGATTCTCTCGGTCATCAGATGCTCTCTTTGACCAATGTAAATAGCTCGTGTTTTAAGACCATACAAAACTACTCCGTTTTCTTCACCCAGACCTTATAGCCTACATCATGCAAAGTTGTGTTACATGGGAACTTTGGGCACATTTTTCCTTCATCGTCGGTATAATGAATGAAAGTCAGTATCGGACACATAATGTTTCTCGTCTGCAATCTGAGACTTGTAAGAATGTATGCAATTACACAATGATGTGATGGCAGAATGTTTGGTCAAAAATTGCCCTACAATATATTGTTCCCATCTCCTGCGGAGACTGTTTCCATTATGCCAAAGTGGGAGTTCAGAGATAGTTGCTATGATACTGAAAGGAAAAAGGTTATCAGAACTGTTATTGTCCATTTGCAACGTTCCGGGTGGTGTCAAATACTTCTTGTAACGGCTAAGAACAAAAGGTGTACATTGGGTCAAAATCATAAGTCACTACAGACAAATATTTAACTAAGTTCAGGAGTTGAAGATTGATGAGTTACAAGCTCAGACAGACGTGTTCTATTAAGCTCAGGAGGTCTAAGTAACTCTGATCTTGGAGACAAAATTTCACAAGAACATGCAGGTGTACCGTGATATTGGATCTTTGAGTCAATAATTATTAGTAAAGAAGCTGAGATGTCAGGCTGTTCTTGTTCCAGATCTGGCCATTAATTGACTTTCAATCTTCCGTATGGATAGATATACTCCTCTACCTAGAATCTTACTCATTTGCATCTGCACAATATAAGAGAAAGTCATGTTTGACCTAAAAACCTCTTGTAAGAAGGTTGCCAGCAATCAACTCTTATTCCTGACTGCAAACTACTTAAGCATCGTGCTGAAATTTGAGTAGTTTATTCTGGGAGATCATTATGTTCCTTTGGACAGTGTATGAAAAGAATGATTGCCCTTATCAAATCTTAAACTTTGCTCCTGACAAATCGAATTTGGGTCAGTTGACTACGTCATAACGAGTTCAATGTGTTCTTACCTCCCTGAAGCATGTCATGTTAGGCCACAAAGTACAGCAAAGTGACCACTCCTTTAACTGAAGCAGCAAGAAACTGCTAACCGACGTATACCTGATGTCTGCAAATCGTAATCCTAGTCTAGCGTGATTTTGTTCCAGGGATCTATACGTTCTGTGACCTACAGTTGCGCCTAAGAGGATGTGGACGTGATGGTTGCGTGTCCTAATCATAGTTAACAGTCTAGTACTTTCTTTGATAATGGTGGCCTCACGTTCCTTCGGATGCGTAAGTTGGGCCGTCCTGAATGTCTTATTCCACTTATTAGAAAGTCTTTTCCCTGCGGCTTGCGCAAATTCACAACGGTCCGTATGCCCATTATGATTAAGAGCATACAGCTTTGTAAACCTGCTCTCGTCCAGTTGTGCTTCTCGAAGGCAGTCTCAAATTTGTTCAATTTGACGTTTGCTTACTTCTCCTTCGTTAAGCCACCGTTGAGACCTCACTTCCGACGTTAGGACTACGCAAGAAAAATTCGAAAGAGGCACACAGTGGTCAAGTTGTGTAGACCAAAGTGACCCCCTCTACGTACTCCCATTGATTTCTATACACTTTGAACACCTATCTACTTCAAGCCATTTTCCGATATGGCTCATTCGACCTGCTGCTAAATATAAGGCAATCTCCAGTGCCTCCAGTGATAGAGTGCAACATGCTTCCACGCAAACAGGAACAAAGCTCATTACACTCAAAAGCATGAACTTGTACAATATCCCATCTACAAACTCGTGCCATGGCAGACGTTGGGAGGAAAGAAATCTGAATATACTCAGTAGTGATTCAGAAGTAAGTCCACGCAAAACATAAACTCAAAAGAAACTCTCATCGTTCTCCCTCTCTCGTCATGACACCACATGCTTTGCTTAATACTTCACATGGTACAGCTGATAACTCCCGAAAAAATGGGTCAAAACTGCAAAATTTCTATCTCCTTATCCGCCATCCCAGCCAGGGTAAATTACAACCTCCTCTTGTCTAAGTTCCAAGACCCCGACGGTTCATAAGACTGTTGCTGCCATAACAGTGACCCTCCCGCACAGTAATTCTTCATCATTCCACTTCGCCCTTCGACAGGGGAAAGGGTAAAAACTTCCACTGACATCTCCATCTTACAAGGGCGGCTGTGCTTGTTCAAGATACAGGGGAAGTAAGACGTAGATCCTCCGATCATTTACCGTCTCGAAGTTGAATCCTAGCACCTTCTCTTTCACACAGGTCAAAAACAAGCAGTTCCTCGAAATAGTCATGGCTGAACCACTGGAAGTTGGAGACTTTTGTTTGCTGGCCGATCTTACCGAGGATGCTATGGATCCTCCACAGATGGAAGTCGCCTTATTTACTTCGCATCAGGTCGCAGTCAGGAAGTACATGTTTGATGACGTTCTGCCAGGATGTCCTCCACCAGAAAAGATACAGCAGACTGATAGGGAAAAACAAAGTTGTACTCCAACTTTACAAAGTGCTTATGGCTGAGCAATAAGCACACCGGTCACCGTTTGTGATATCCATCAGTTTCTCTAGCCCCTCCCGGTGGTGGTGAGAGGAAACAATACATCGATTGCTCAACAAATAGACAGACGAAAACTACAACAAAATTGCATAAGGTTCACAGGAACTCACAGAGCCTCCTCCAGCCAATGATGGTCAATGACTGCCTTACTCTTGGACTATCAGTTGTAGGTTACACACCACGGTATCCCAAAAACAAATGTGACTGACTCTTGAATAATGAGGTACAACCCGCAGTGTTCTTGCCAGTGGTCATTGCAGAGAACAGGTAGCCTCGGCACAAGATGTACTCTCACATGTGCATGTCCCGTTAAATTCAGCTCCATCACGACTATGATTACACAAGAGATACTCGCCGTCTGGGTCTGCTACCAGAAGGCTAAGCAGTGGAGGTAACCCACTATGTCCCCAACAGAAGAAAACCAATGATCATTTTTTTTGTAGCCCAGGTAGGAGTCTTCTACTGTTGTCAGCAGATAAGCTACAGAAGCTTGTTGAAAAAATTGCCTCCATAAACTATAACTGACTAAGAAGTAGGGCAGCATCAGAAGCTTGTCACATTGTATTGTCGTGTATGATAAGATGCGTCTCTTCAATTGTTTTGGCCAGACAGCAGTCGACTGCAAGATACAATCCCAGTCCTTGGAGTACACAATCCATGATCGGTTCTTCTACTACACCTTCTAAACTACCTGATTGAAGAACTACCAGTGTCGTCCCCTACTGCGACCTCCACGCCATCCACTCCTCCCACCACCCCTGACTTGAGTCGCCCTTCCACCACGAGATAAGCTTGCCAGGGCCCTATTTACAAGTTGATTCTGAGACGAGGTGTCACCCCCTTTCGCCCTCTTTCCTCCTCCTGAGGCTGCGCCAGCTCCGTTGGCAGCTGAAGCCGTCCGCTTGGAGCTTCAGAAAAAGATACAACCACCAATGAGTAAGAAAAAGAATAATTATGCCTTCAACCGACCATCGTACAGACGGCTCTCTAGAAAAAGTTCTGCACGAATAAGCGGGGAGCGCGACAGAAAGATGTATGAAGAGTTTGTTATATCTATACCCAGTAGCGTTTAGTTGTTGAGTAGCCACAGGCTTCGCCCAAGATAGACTAAAAGACTTCTTCTCACCGAAAAACGTTGGAGCTTTTGAATGCAAAGGCTGCACACAAGCATGAACAAGGCGTTATAGGGTGACATCTGAGCTTTTCTTGATACGACTTTAAAAATTCAGCTGCGGCTCGCGCATTCAGACTGTGAAGAAACTTAAACCAATACCTGGGTAAGAGTCAAAATATTGTTGCACGTTTGTAAACCGGAGCTGGTGGTTTGCTTCTTTACTTTCTGAATGCAATACAGCCAATTTACGGATTAAACGCTACATTTTACAGACACTATGAATATAAAGACCTTCGATAAATAATACTTTAATACACAACGGAATCCAACAATCTGCATACTCCTAGCATATGGACGCAAGCATCTGCAAAAGCACGAAGCTTACAACATCTGCCTTTGCGGCGTCATCCTTGGCGGCAGCCATGGCTTTATGGTGCTCCGTCATGCCTTGAGCCAGTCTCTTGTTCGTAGCTTTTGCCTGCTCTTCGACCAAGGTCAATCTGATCACAAGAAACACAGAATTTTCTCCTCAGAATCCGTCAAATGATATAGCAGAACATTCCCAGAGCTAAAGTACAAACAAAAAACGATGTATGCATGCAATAGTCACACAAAGACATTCCTGTTCAGTACATAACGTAGTTCAGGATTACCACGACTAAAGAAATTGATTCAAAAGCATTGATTATATTATGTCTTGCCTCTCAACGAAGTCCTTAAAAAACTCAGTGAAATCCTCGCCCAACCGATCTGAGGGCTGACCGGTAACAATTTTATATCCGCACAGACTGTTCGTCATATTGGGAGCCTGCAAATATAAAAACACAAAGTGCACTCTCTCAAAATGTATTTACATATCCCGAAAATTCACAAGGTATTCAAGCCTTATACCCTGCCAACGGGCTGACCAGATGTGCGAACGAACAAATGAACTTGAACAGAACATTTCGTGATATGAAGGGTAGTTTGAAGGGCACCTTGTGCGCAAGTTGATGAAATACGTACAACAAGCATTCCACATAGGTGAAGTTAAGCTCTTCCGACGTTTTCTTCCTTGGCACGTACTTCTGCGAGTGCACTGACCGAATCAAAAGAAATGACGAGTATACTATTGTGGCTATAGAAGGGTCCGGCTCCATCAAGAACTAATGTTACAGACTTTCGAAGCTATACTAGTCGACGTGGACCCAAACTAACACTTGTATACATGGACAGTGAGCGGTAAGCTGACTACAATTTGGGTATCATCATATGTCACTGAGACATTAAGAAGAGTCCAAGCCTACTTCATCAAGAATACCAATACACGAAAGCGACCCAACCACCAAATAACCCCCAATGTAAATTTTCTGTGGGTTTTGTTTCAGAAGATGGAATCCTCGAAAACAAAATACTTGTAGATACTTACCTTGATAAGAGTAACGATGGACGGTAAAAGACTGCGAGCATCTTGGGCTGAAGTAAATGGAGAACTTTCAGCTAAATTTTTCAGCAGATCCACTTTCCGCTCTTCAGGAAGCTGTTGAGAACAATACCATATTCGTAAGATAATTGACAGCCTTCAAGACTATATTCCTAGAGTCAGGCTATTGTGACTTTACCAGTAGAAACCACATAAACGTCTAATAACACCTCAAATCAAGTATGGCTCAGACCTGTGTCCTTCCCTTCATTTTCCTTAACTGAAAGCTAGCCATGGTCAAAACGGCTTCTGGGTTTTGAGATAACGCGGGGTAAAGAAGGTTTGATCCACACCGGTAAAATGTTCTAAACGTCCATTCATACGACAGAAGCTGACTAATAACACAGGATCGGAAGCCCTAACTGCTTCTAAGAGTGCAGAAAAATATCGCCCAACTAATCGTCCTAGATAGCGACAAATCTCTCATGCCAGCAACTGTTCTAAAAACATGATACAAAGTGAGTACTTCGTATGACCTTCACGGGCTCTACGGGTACATGACTAATTAAAAACGTTGGCAAGTAAGATCATAACCACAGTCTCCAATCAGACTGATCCCGGAAATCTTGACATCTCAAAAACAGCCAAAGATGTGTTGGGAAAGGTAACTGTATAGACATGAACATCTGAACACGGAAGAAGCACACCTTATCGAAGACAGGGAGTAAGTGCTTGTTGATATAATTGAAAAACTTGCTGTTTGATGCACCGCGCTGCAAGAAATTCGTAGATGCATTACATTAGCGTGTTCAAGATTTCCCCACATAATAGCAATAACTTTCATCAGATATATTGATTGGCTACAAGCAGCATCTGCGACAATAAATATTCTGCTCTAAATTCGAGTCGAGACAAAATCACCACAAATGCTTTGTTTTCAATAAACTAAACACTTTGGTACAACACCTAGAACACAGCATCTAGGAAAATTATAAAAAGACAGCATCATAGAGTCATCTTCAACACACAAAATACATATTTTTATAGGAAGGCTCACACGTCCCACAACCTTCGGAGCTCTTATTAGTGTATGTCAACATCAAATCTTCCTCACAGTAAAACTCAATTTTCAAGATATGGAACAAGTCTAAAAGGAGGGACTTACAGCATAAAAAGGAAGAGCCATGTTTAAGCAAGACATTAGACGGTCGATGTGATCCGTGTCGGTTATCTGGATTCATCAACACAGTCCAATTTACTTAATCGCCACTTTGGTAACTTCATTCAGAAGATATCACAAAATGGATCAGAAAACCACAGTGCGAATACATAAGGGAGGTAGGTGAGTGCCAATAAAACTCTGCATGATATGGATACTATATAGAAGACAAACAGCTAGTTTGAAACCTCCCACTCTCAGGTGTGTTCAAGTTCGCCAGCAGAGCATAGAATATCCAGTGATACTCAAGCCTAAGGAGCCGAGAGATACTCATCGTTGAGTGAGATTTAAACATACTTATCACGTAATTACTGGTTAACATAAGTCTGTTCAAAACAGAAATCCGTCTGAGGTCATCCTTCCCATTGTTCCTAATACTACTGACTTCCCTAACATATTACAATTGTGTAATATTATGAGTGTGTGCTTCCGAAACTTACAGTGAACTGCGCATCTAGGTCCGCCTGACCTTCTACTATCTCAAGAAGTTCCTGTACACGCTCAGGGGGGGCTTTATCCCCAAATAAGCTCAAACTCTTGAGAAAGTCCATAAACATCTTGAATTCTGCTCCGGTAACGTCTTGCAGACTCTGCAACATTGTTCCATATTTATTGCCTCCAACCTCGATAGAGGCGATACTCAAACATTCTAGGAACAGCCACTTAATGGAATGACTAAGTCCTAGCTTTGCAGACAGAAAAAGGTTGAACATGTATCAAATTGATCATTAACTTAAGAGGGAGGAAGACAATGAAGGCATACCTTTTTTATAAGATCGGTAATGTGTCTTTCCATTTCTTCTTGAGGGTGCAGGAGTTCATTCTTCAAAGGAAATACCTGTAGAGACTCATACATCGGCAGATGAGAAACGGCCAAGCTGTGCATATGTATTTGCAAAAAAACCTGCTAGATTATCTGACTTGATTAGCTATTACCTAAGCGTTTCAGTGAATAGACGATTAAAAAATCCAGGTGGAGATTAGATCATTTTTACCTTTTCTCTGACAAAGATGAGAACCCTTTCCCGTATGTTTTCATCGGAATTTTCGATGTGCTTGAACAAAGCAGTCAGAGAAGCTGGCCAAGCACGCCACAAAAATACATTCAATGATCAACCTTTTTCTCATTATCTTCAATCAAAAGCGATTATTCTACTTGCAATCACGTCTTCATTGAAGTTCACAAAACTCCCCTATCCAAGGAAGCCTCGATCTACTTCTACTTCTTCTTCTATAGTGATGATTATACACCGTTGGGTCTCAACACCGACCACCTTGAGGGATGTGAATAAGTACCTTTGGTGTCCTGTCTCAAGACAGACATCAAAGCCTTTTGTACGGCATCTCGTTCCAACCCCTCCTCTGCGCCACAAAAAAGATGTGTAAGAAAAACTCATGGATAATTCAGAGACCTTAGACGCCTGTAAGTGCCACGTTGCAGTAATGATTGCGAAAAGACACTGGCATACCAGCAAGAAGAAGTTGGCCCAGAACATCTGCGATCTTAGGCAAATGTACGGGGGTATCCTTGCATAGAAGAGGGAGGCCCCTGATTGCCTGCACTCGTATCTGCGAATCAAAAGCAACATCTTGGTTTCATTCTTCGGAAAGAGCACATGTATGTAACCTAAATGTGGCAATCGTCGACATTCATCACAAGCTATCGAACATAACTGATAACCACTCAACCCATAGATCAACATTCAGTAAGTTGCACTTCGTTTTCAAGAGTCGTAAGTGAAGTGAAGCAAATGCTGTACGAGCATCAAACTTTCATCGATTCTGAATACAAGCAGACCTAAATCATCTTAAGTACGCCTTAGCAACCGCTGAAAAGACTTTACTTCTCATAGACTTTCCTCTTCCAAAATCTTGAAATTTTGAAAAATCAAAGAAGCTAATAAACACGTCCGCTCTGAGTTTAATTAACACTACTACTACATCATGATTTTCAACATGGTGCTCGTCTTTACATCAAATTTCGGCTAGACTTGAAGGAAATGACCCATGATCCGACCCAAGTCAAACTTCAAACATTAATTGGATGCTTTCATCCAGTTTGCTCGGTCATAAACCCAAGACATAAAAGGGCTTTCAGTGAAGCCTTCGAGAACACTTACGTTGAAAGACTCCGTTAATAAATCCAAATCAGATCTTGAAAATCAAATGTCTACGCTAAATCATTGCAAATTATAATGCCGGACTTGCTCGATGCGTGCAATCTTAACGTGCTATCACAAACCCTTACCTAAGATGCAACAAGGTGGAAGAAAAGGCCGAAAAGCAGAAAAACCAATCGCATGAAAAAAAATGTTCGACTAAAAAAAAGGTAGGTAATCGGATTACCCCAAGTTCATCTTCTTCGCAGAGATCGAGTTGCGCATTGATCGCTTGAGAAGAATAATTGGGGAAGAATTTGAAATAACGTGGAATCAGCTGCGCCGACAATTGCTTCGCTTTACTGCTCCCCTTCGCTACAGCGATGATGCCCATGTAGTCACTTTCATTCTGCTACCCCATGTCCCCGGCCAATACGGAGCCATTGTGAGCAGATGGCAAAGAATGCAGACCAGACCACCACCAGCATCCAGGGTCTTAAGACGGATGGACTGAATTTTGTAAAACAACGGAGCTACAGAAGAGAATAATGGCAACTAGAGAGCCGAGGCCACCACAAAACCCTAAAGAGCCTCTTTGTTACATGCAACGGCGAAACAAGAGACGAACTTCTCTCTCAACGAGTGAATCTTTATTTCTTTCTTTCTTTGATTGCCACAGACTCCCTTTGATACAACTCTGATGTGTAAAACGGCAGGGGAGGAAAAAAATGTAAGACCTGAGTCTTGTCTTTAGACTCGCTGAGTCGCTCTCCGTACTCATACAGCTTTTCAAGAATGAATTCCTCACTCTCGGGCGCCGCCATGGCCCCTCAATACTCCCCCTCCGTAGTCTGATTTCAGACAATGTCGTTTCTAAACAGCCCCTCCACCCTCCCCCCCTTTCCTCAATCCAAGCTATCCTCCGCTGCGCTAGGCATCGCCTGTTCACTCCCGTGCACTTTGCACCCACAGCTCCTCCTCCTCCGCCTCCTCCTACTATTCGTTCGCGTCGCTGCTCGGAAACTATGCTCGCTCCGACTCGCCTCCTCTGCCCACAGCCTACCCTGTCTGCAATTCGACACCCAGCGCCCGTTCCAGCACCCTTCGCTTCCCTAACGAGAGAGAGCAGTAGTCTGCACGGCGCGGGACCGATGCTCCTCCTCTCTTCGTCCTCCGCTTCGCCTCCTCCTGTTCTCTTCGCCTCCTCCTCCAGGACGCTCGCTTGCTCCCTCCCTCCCTCCCTCCTTCGGCGCTCTCTCCCCCGCTCGATCCCTTGGTTTGCCTGCAGGCAGGCAGGCAGTGGAGCTTGTCGTCTCCTCTCTCTCCTGCGCTCTGCTACTCGCTGCTCCTCGTCTTCCCCGTATTTCCGCTCTGGGCAACAGCACCACCACCAACGACAGAGTCTGGGCTCTCTCTGCTCTCTCCTCTCTCCTCCTTTCGAAAATGGGCGTCGTCGTTTCCCTGCACGTGTGCCTTCGATTCGTCCGCTTCTAGGGCCCTCGCCAAAGTGACGGCCTCCCTCACTTGGAAGCAGAGGCTACGCGAGTGCGGGTCGCTCCGGCTCGCCGTGCTTGATTCGACGCCCGCCTCACTACGGGGATCCTTTAGCCGATAAGCTTTTCCAGCTAGCGGTTACCCCGCTCCCACCGGATAGCCTCGTGTAGACGCTTCGTAGTTCCGGCCTTCTCCCTCTGCCGCCGGGTCCCACCCACCCTCTGAGTGCACCGGCGAATATGTTGCCATTGATTTGTATGTTCTCCAACTGTGCTCATCGGTGATTTTGAAACACTAGCCCATTCCCACGCAATCCAACTGTTTTCTAGAATCTGATCCTACGATGCAGATGATCGGATTGTGGGATCTTGTGTATTGTTAAGTCGTTTAAATATTGATGGCGGGCAAGTTGTCAACCTGTCCATGTTTTGCAGCGCCACATTCGAGGTGCGATATTTAAATTCCTGCATACAGCCAGAGAATGAAATATGCAGTACAATTAAGTTGGTCTGGAAAGGAATTTCTGAAGTATTTTATTGTCTTAAAGATATCCCAAGACCTCTTACATCTATATTTCTCTAAGAAAACGGCTTTCTCATTAGAAAGTTTTAGCATTTTTCTTCCGACAATGCAATAAGCAAACTCTTCTTCCTATGATAACACACAGATCATATTTACTCATCGTGAGAGGATTAAAAAAAACGAGCATTGAATCATGTGTCACTATTTATGTGGCGTCGTTTCTGATTAGTTTGATTTGCGTATGTTTGAGGAGATATAGGAATGAAGTTTCTTCTGCAGGAACTTCATATGCATACAAACTAAACATTAATTTCAATAATTCTATGACTTCGAGTTTCATGATTTGATCAGAGTTAATTTGAAGGCTCGTGTAAAAACATTGAATCTGAAGGAAAAGAGTGAAATTTCTGCCATTATAATATAATATTTAAAATACAGTTGTGTAAAAAATATGGAATAAATATTTAAGAAATTAATTTTCAGCCATGTGATCAAATACTTGTCTTATTAAAATGTTAAAGGTGTATTACATGTTATGATTAATCATGAATTTGATCTAATCATTAAAATTTATATCAAATTTACAAAGTAAGAATTATAAGGACCATGATTAAGGTAAACCATTGTCATTAACTTTTAATTTGGACTAATTATGTTCAAATATTGCAGATAAAATATGCTTGAACTTTCACAATGTATCAAAAAATAATGTTGGATGTTTATATTTGATATTCTAAAAACATATAAAAATAATTATATTCATGAAATAAATATGTTATTGACTTAAAATTATAAAATATAAGTAAAGATAACTAAATTTTAATTTTATGATAATATTATTCAAAAATAATAATCTAATAAATAAGATCTATTGCTACTTTGCAATTCAGACACAAAAGATTCAATCAATACGACAAATGTTAACAACCTAGACAAAAACTCTGACACAACTATTTCATGAAAAGTATATAGCGATTTATAATAATGAGATTTAATTTTTTTAACAATTAATTATTTTAATACCATAGATAAAATTGAAATATAGTGTATAAGTTTTCCTTCATTTATATATTTAAAAATTCAAATTAAAGATTATTTGAATCAATATAAAGGACAATTTTGACCATTCATTAAATCTATTCATTGAATCATGATATTCAATAATTATAAGCTATATAGTGTTGATTTGAGACACTCATAAAAGTTTAGACACAAGTGAAAATCAATCACATTCACAAACTTTGATTTTTGTTTGATGTCCAAATTTTTATATAAATAATTGAATTTAAACAATCATGTGTTTTTCAATATACTTACTCATTTTACATACACTGATGTTTAAAGTTTAATGTAATTAAAAAACGATTGTATCAAGTTGATTTTATTTAGTCGATGTAGATTTAAATATTAAGATTTCAATTTAATATGAAGTATTATAACATATATTCATCGCAATAATGCGATGAATATATGTTAAGTAAAAGCTATATGTGAAAATTTAATGTTTGATGTTTCGTTACTATTTGATGCAAAGAATGTGTGTTAGTGCTCAAATCTAATTAGTTATGCTCAAATCTGAGTCTCTTCTAATTTAAATAAAATAGACATTTTGTTCATCACTCTTTGAGTATGAAATCAATTCAAATTTGTATGGATCTATTTGATTTGCTTGTAGAAGTAGAAAAAAATGTTGAGTACTTGAAATTTTCAGTTTTTTATAAGGTTTTAAAAGACAGAGTGTTAATTTTCCTATATTGTTCAATATAATTTTGTTTAAAAATGTAATTTTGAAATTTATTATATTTTTAAAAAATATAAGTAGTAAATAAATGTTTTCAATATCAAAATGAAATGTTTACTCAATATATAGGTGTTAAATCATGATTTTTTTTTATCAAACATAAATTTTATGTATAATTATTGCTTACAAATGTTTAAGATCATACATTAAATTTGTAAATTTGCATATCATTATTTGTAAACAAAAATTTAGATTTTCTACTTGTATTACACGAGTACGTGCAATTTCAATAAAGCCATGAGAGCATTCAGATTTTGTATTCTGTGAACATGTTTTAATAATATTTTTCAACATTATGATTATTTAATGGAGCCTATATTAGTGAAAACTACTTTTATCAACAAATCTATTTTAAAAAAATTTGTAAAATTTTTTATTTTTTTTCAAACATATGGAATATTTATAAGTAACACATCAAGTTTTACTTTGTAAAGTTTTGCTATACAAATATTTTAATGATTTTGCTAAATATTATAAACAAATGATTGCAAAATATCTCATCATAATTGTTAAAATTTGAGGAATCAGATTTAATAACGATAATGCAAACATACAAAAAAATTATGTCTGAATTATCTGATTGAATTGTTAATTAGTTCGATTCTAAATCTTGCATGAAAATTATTATTTTTGGTATGCTATAAATCTCTAAATACAATAAAATGTTGGGATGAAGAGTAAATGTTGTGAAAGTAAAAGTCAAGGTGGTTCAAGTGCAAAAAATAGAAAAAATCAATATTGTATGGCACATAATTATTAGTTAGTTCAAATGAGATGAGTTATGAAAAACAAATTGGACTTTATGTGATTATCGGTGAATTTCCTTTAACACGTATATTATAAAGATGATAAAGTTAATAAATAAACATGAATTATTATTACAAATAGCACATGAATTTTTTTGCATTACATCTCAAAAAATCATAATATGCATTAGAAAGTTAGATGGTGTTGTACAAAAATAGTTTTAAATTGAATGCAATTATGAAATGTAATTTTTAATGCATTTATTTTGTACATATTTGATTAAAAGGTTTGTATAGTTTAGCAATATCAGTTTTGTAGTTCTCACATGTCAAAATTTAAAAGAGTACAAATTTACGTATATTTTTACCGATTTATAGTGAAGTTATGTTGGAAAATATCAAAAGTAGACATTTAGACTTGTTTGAATCAAATTTTGTTTACCACTTTAATTTTACAGGTTTATCAGATGAATAAATTTGTGTACTATATAGTGTTGAAAATTTTGAAAGTTTATCAAAATCATACATTTGTATATAATGTATGAACAGGTTAATGTGATATTTGCTTTGACTAAAATGTGATACATATTTGCATAAAATATTTTTTCAACTCAGTCAGTTTAAAATAGAAACGTTAAATCAGTTTCTTTGTCGTCAATCATATATTTTATAGAATTTATATAATAAAGATTGAAAAATACATGCATTTAACATTATCAATATATAGAGACATGCTAGTTCATAAAATATACATGACAATGTTTTAAAATGATTCATTCAGATTTTGTTAAACAGGTTAACAGTTAATTTATCAAATCTGGAATTTTAAATAAACCTTGCAATCTTTGGATGCAATAACGGGGAACTTGTGTAAAACAACGTATATAACAGAGAAGTTTCCCAGTTATAAAATGATTGCATCAAGAAATTTGTAACATGCAGTAAGATTCAACAAAAATGACATGAGAAAATAAAAAAAAATATATTTTGTTGGCCAACTTTAATGTTCTTTACTTAAGGACAATTGTTCATTTAATTGGAAAATTCATTTTCCACTGAGATAGTTAAGTATTGATTGCAAGATGACTGTTTCACGCATACGTAGACAGATGACTTGACTAAAACGAGAACATGTGGTCCAATTTAGATCTTATGTATGGCATCTCATCATTTTCAAATACAATAGGAGTACGTTTCACATATGTTTACTCAGTTATATATATTATTAATGACTCAGTTTAAATTCGAAGTCAATGCGATTTATTCTACATGGTATCCCTCATTCATTGTTGCAGTTGGCATCTCCACCTCTCCATATCTAAAGCTTGTGTGTAGATGTTTTGATCGATCGATTGCAATGACATATGATTTTAAAATCATATATTCCACGGAACTTTATGGTCACACAAATACACGCAAAACAGCCGTCGATACCCTTACAGTGCAAAACCCAATTGCAGCCCCGTTAGAAGATGAGTTTTCTTGTTCCTTTGTAAGCCCGCCATAAATGTATTGTGGAGTATATTTTTTTCCTTGTTCTGAGTTTTGTAATTATTAACAAATAAATAATGATACCATGGCGGTTGTTACATAGTATGGATGCTCATTCAAATGATGAACACTAGTAGAAGGGGTGTATGCTTGATAACATGTGAAAATTAGCGTGGGCCATGTGTCACGAGTTGTAACGGTGTACTGTACAGTATATAAAGTCAAAGCAGTCAAAGTCACAATAGTGATCCTCGTTTAGTGCAGGTACAATTTCATGGTCACTTGTTTTGGTCCGAAGCCGGTCATTTCCTTGTCATTTAGCTCGAATGGGTAGAACCAAGTCATATAGCAAGTCAGATCCATTCCCCTGGCATTTAGCATTTGGCACTGATTTGAGGTAACAAGTAATAAAGCAAAAAGAAGGGGAATATCCATGAAGCCGTATAGGTATCAAACCAAACACTGGTATTTAGTTACACTCTTGATGTCACGGTCTGACCTGCCGGTCATAGCAGATATGGTCCTCAACGTCCCTGCTGTATCGGCATAATAATGTAGAGCTAACCGGAAGTTGGATTATGGCTTCCAAAAGCTGGTCCCCGCATGAAGCTTTTTTCTCCCGAACCTCGACATGTTGGATTGTGACACGTTTGTCATCGGGTCTGCCGGTCTCGATCGGAAGTATAACTGGTATATCTTTCTTCCCGTCGAGATTTCCACCTGCGTCCCATAGATAAGGAAAGACCAGGATAAACATGAGAGTCTGACCGGTTATCGCCACGAACAAGGCTACAAACCTGCTCCGACTCTTCGGGAGATGACCTACGCCATGATTAAATATTAATAGATAAAACATGACACGGATCATGTCAGGAGTTGGGATTCATGACACAGTTAGTCTTTATCGGAGTTTGCGCGATCGCCGTTGGAGAGGCCTGACACATAACAGGTCACCGGGCTCACCGCGCCGGCGAATGTGAGATGGAAGGGGCGAGAAGAGGGATGGGACCGCCGAACGCCGGTAGCAGGCCGTGGATTGGATAGAGCACCGGAGGAAGAAGACAGATTAGTCGACGTGACATGAGTACGCCGTTGTCCTCAACTCAGGACTAAAAGCGTTTGTTGTGACGTGAACCTTGCGATTGAAGAGTTTTGCGGTCCCTTCCGAAGGAAAGCTGGAGGTGCTGGACGATGCTGCTGCTACCGCCACGACGAGAGGGATCTGACCATTCTGCGCAATCGAAATCAGGACTGGGACTGGAGCAGTGCAGCAGTACTATTCATTGCCGACCAGCTTGTCCGTGCCTGATCGAAGTAGCGAGGCAAGCGCTCGGAGAAGAGGGCCCGGAGGAGGAGGAGGAAGCGGAGTCGAAGAAGAGGAGGACGCAGAGCAGACTTGCAAAGGACATCTTTCATCTCTTCACTCTGGTTTCACGCACACTTTCGTGTCCTCAGCGCCTGCCGGCATCCGTGCCGCCTGACAGCGAACGACTCCTCCCCCGTTCCCTTCTCTGCCGTTTTGTTTGCGTTGTGTGGTGTTGATGTCGCAGCTGCAGCGAATTTTGTGGTCCTAGGAGACGACACCTCTGGTGTAGGAACGCATGCGGGCAGAGGGAAGGTGAGGGGAGTGAAGCGGGGTTTCTCGCCTAGGAAAGCGAGGCAGCGCACTGAGTCGATTGTTTGGACGGTTGCGCATCGAGCAGTTGGAAGATCACCGCACCACAACTCTCAGGGGAGTGCGATCGTGCATATGCCCATCTGGTCTAGGTGAAGAACATATATCGAATATAAGGCACTCTGAATTGGAACAGGATTTGGTGGGTAGCTGTGTTGGAAGGGAGTGACAAGGGTTGCGCATTGGTGAGAAGTCGGTGACAGGCACACAGGTCCCAACAGTAAACTGTTAGGGTTGTGCAAATTCAGATTTAGTGCTAGAGAGATTCACTGTTATTTCAAAAGGTGGGCGTACTGGTCTAAATGGCCCAAATAGTGGAAGATTGGTACAGGCAGATGCCAATAATCACACGAAGTTATCTTACACTGTCTGTGCTGACAACGGCAGGATGTGCCCTCGAGGTTCGCTCTCTTTCCCTCTGTTTCTCACATCACACGTCAGCTGTCATGGATACAATGTCGATGTTGCATGAGATACAGATTGTTTAGCCAGCACTCGGCCTCAGAAGAAAGGGAAGCAGTAGAGCTACAAAAAGCTATATTTGATAGGGCAAATTCGATTCGATCCCGAGTTGATCGTCACGGAAGGAAGTTTCATTCACTTGGTCCGGATAGAAGGGGTATTGTAAGCAAAAAAACTTGTGTTGGGAAAGTCATTGGCATTGAGTAAATTTACATACACCTAAAGATGCTCAGAAGACATTCCATCCATCTGGAAGTAGTTCTTCTCTTGTCTAAGTAGTCAAACGATGAGAACCTTTAGCATTGATAATTGAAGATTAGTGGGTTACCTGAGTACAATTTTACAAGGTGTCAATTCGTGTCCTTCATCTGTGATCGTAGTTCTCTTTACAGTAGATCGGACATTGTACTGCGCATTTTTTTAGCACAAAAATCTACATCTCTTCCTGACTACCTATTTCTCTCGGGGCTTGCTATTTATTTTGATTTGTAAACCCCTGGCAACTAACATGTCTCCTGCCTTTAGTTTTTCTTTTGTTCCGTAAAATTGAACTTTCTTTTCAAAAGCTATACAGACTACATTAACAATCACGATGTATAGAATGCTGGTCGTCTTCTTACTGAGAATTTGATGTCTTCATCCTTTGAATGAAAGTTTGAGACTTTATCTTACATCAGCAAATGCTTGCCCATAACATCTGCAGGTGATATCACCGTATTCAGTTTATCTCAATCCAAATTTAGTGGTGAAGGATTGGCAAGTCTGGCGATTGGTGACAAATTTTTTCTATTTTGGAAAACTCGGTGGGTGAACTATGCCTCGTAGAATGCAATTAGATGTTGTGAATGTATCAGTATAGTAGCTTTTCCTGTGATAACAAATTGGTTACAAGAACAGCAACTTGTTTTCTTTTTATTCTAATAAGATTGATCATCCTATCTGGACCAGTCAAGCTCGTATAGCAAACTACCTGAAAAGTTGTGGTTCTCTTTGCAGATAGACAGAATCTGCAATTTGTTTTTAATGATATCGAATGGATGTTTTCTCTTGTGAGATTAATACATTTTAGATATCGATGTATTTCAGACTTTGACTACGGGTTTAACAAAGACGAAGTAGAATGAAATATTTTCAATGAGCCGAGTGATAATGCTATTCATGGATTGTGATCCAGACCTCGACTTTCTGTTCCACATGTTCTTTCTTGCACGGTACTGCAAGTTACTCGAGGAAACGTCATTTCGAGGAAGGACAGCGGATTTTTTCTTCATGCTGCTTTTTGGTGGAAGTTTGTTAACCTGCATGTTCCTTGGTGGAGCATTTTTGACGTTCTTCTTACCTATAGCAGAAATCTACTTTTTAAGCAATTCCCTCACATTCATGATGGTGAGTCACACTTTTTCTCTCATATACTATCGGTTGAAACTTTCTCTCAAATGAATTCATCTTTCAGGATGTTCTGGTTAGATCAGTATCAGTGAATTTACCTCAGAAACGTCGATGATGTGGATTCTATGATTCGCAGGTGTATGTATGGAGCAAGCGCAATCCTAATGTGCAAATGAGTTTCCTTGGTCTTTTTAGTTTCACCGCACCATACTTGCCATGGGTAAGGTTTGAATTATAGTTAGCATTCTTTTTATTGATATAACTCGGAGATCTTCATCAAAACTTACTTTGAGAATTAAGTGCCCACATTGTAAGAGTAAGAAAAACATATTGCGAGAACACAGTGAAACGAAATACAAAATATCTTGCCAACAGCGCAATAATTTTACAATTTTATCTTGCAGGTTTTATTATTATTTTCCCTGATGGTGGCTAGTAGCCCATGGGTGGATATTTTGGTAAGTTCAGAACCTCTTTTGACGGAAGACATGTTTGTGGTATTTCGAATCAAGAGTATAAATTGTTATATCTTCATGTTGTTTTGCCCCAGGGTTTAGCATTTTTAGCTCCAAAGCAACATTGTTACAACCGTCTGGAGTTTGTCTTTTTGCAGTGTTTTATTGTGGTGCAATTTATCATTACGTGTGTTGTTGGTCGTTCAGGGAATGGCCGCTGGTCATGCTTATTATTTTTTGGAGGATGTGTACCCGGTGATGACTGGACGTCGCATCCTCAAAACTCCAGGCATTATCAAAGCTTTGTTCCCAGAGGATAATGTGGTTGTTCCTACAAGGCCAGCCAATGGTTGGGGAGCTCCTGGTGTTGTTGCCGAAGCTCAGCCGCTTCATAGAGATTGACAATATTTCTTGTAAAAATAATGTGTAGGGAGTTGTCTACTTACATGGCTGGCCTTCAGCTGACTATCAGATTTAGACCTCAAAAGTTAGCATTATCTTGGGAAACAATCCCCGAGAATGTACTATAATGGGTTGCAGTTTGCAAGCACAGGGATAGCCAATGGTGTGATCAGAATTTAGATCACCATGTGTTTAACACTTTCTTCGTCACTCGCGTTGTCACTTGCTCTCTTGAGACCCTTCCACATTTATGACAGTTACATAAATTTCACTAGTCAGCCACTTTGTGCGCATCAGATTTGTGTCAGATGTATTGTGCACGAGCCAGGTTCGAAAAATTGACCTCTAACCTCTCGCCCAATTTTGAATCCCGATCTATTGTGCCACGGGAACTACATAATCGTACCTTTAGGTAACAGCATTGTTTATATGTATGGCCTATATTCACTATTCTTGTTAAACTCCTCTTCTTGATCTGGGGAACTGTTTGTTGATTCTGACGGTTTTTGCATCTCGCTCAAGACATTGTTCTCATTAAGTTTAGTGGCACAATCTACTGTAATTTTTTATGGTCAAAAGTTACAAAATCCACAAAATGGATTACCTAGATTTCACAAGAAGTATACCTCTATATGCACATACATTCTCAGGACTATTTTTGTCTTACTAAGAGCTTCTTCTAATGTACTCGGTTGACCATTTCTTCACTTTGACTGCTAAGGAAATAACTGCTTTATATTGTTCTCTCCTCCGCCATAATCTCTATTATACTGGTGAAAACAAATAGGTACTTCATTTTACAATACTGGAGCAAGGGGTGGATCAAAGTCTTTGATTGAAAGGAAGAAATTCAGTTTTGGCCCTTGAAGAATTGGACCACGGGAGGCTCAACTTGGAATTGTACTGATGGGTATTTTCTTAAGATACTTTGGGTTGAGCATCTCAGTATCTACTACTTAGAAGCATCAGCGCAGTTTACAGTAACGAGTTCAAATCCGTCAGTAAGAACCATGTATCATGACCACATGATAGCATGTTATCTCCCGGTTGAAACAGAGAATAGAATATTATAATCCTTGAAACATTGAGTTCACTCTTCTGACTACTTCCGAAGGAATACCACTTATTGACTCAACTAATTTACGAAAGTGTTTAACATCAACCCGCGTAGATTTCCAACGATCAGTTTCCAAGCGGTATGTGTAGGGAGATATGAAATAGAAGACAAATTTTGTACAGTCCAATGAGTTCCATATAGACATGTAAATTTAAGGGTTCGTGGTGAGGTAAATGTTATCTGCATATTGCTAAATAGTTTGTATGGTGTGAAACGAATTTATCATTGCGTAAGTTGTTTTTAGAAACTAAAATTTCTTGTATTAAATGGTGATTGATAAGAGTGTTCTTATCATATTTTAATGTTAGTCTAAATATTCACCACATGAATAAATGGATGAGTCACAAATCATATTTCAAGGCTTGTAAGTTGCAGAGCTCAGCTATGCAAATTTGCTTGCCAAATCTTATCATTGTAACCTGTGATCTGTAACGGATTGGCTGAACTTTCAAGAGATTTGCTCAATTCAACAATCAGTGCGACACCACCAAAACGTCGCGACTCTTTTCTTTTGCACCCGTATGCATCAAGATGTCGAAGATGTATTTTTACCATTCACTTTCCAATATTGACGTTATATGTCATTGGAATGACGATTTTCAACACATAGTTTATTGTGGCAGTCTCTTTTGTTAAAGTAAAAGAAGAAAAGAGTCGGAATATAGATGGGCATAAAACAGGGTGTGATTATTACAATCATAAAATGGCACTGATTAACACACTGCAACAAGTGTGTTTTATTCAACATCTTTATTATGTATTTGGCACATCGAAAAGAATATAGCTGTTAACTTATTCAAAAAGCATATTCCCAACAAGGAATATATGATGGAATTGTTATATACTTGGAGTGCGTTGAAGGATACTCATCGGCATGTATTTATATCACAAAATGGAACAAGCTTCTTGAAAAATATGCAACTGGAAACAATCAAGTTTTAGTACGTGGACAACCGTGTGGCTGAGGGACAAGGAACACCTTTTTCTGCTCGGCAACGTCAACCCTTTTCGAGCATACGGGCAACATAGTATGATCGAAAGTTTCATCAAAGTGTCGACAAATTACCTGGAAGAATCTCATACACGATTTTTCTCATGCTTTGGAAAATAGAATCATTTACGCTACAAAAATATTTGGATCTTCCCATCATCTTTTCTTATCTATTTGGCCCCCCTTATTTCGCTGTGATTCACTTCTATTACCGAGCGCACTATGTCTCTTGGGCAGACGAGGTCCATGTGTGACAGGTTCAGACTCATGATATTTTCGTGAATGGTAAGAACTTAAAATTGCTTCAGCAAGATTCTTCCGTGCAATCTGATACTTCCTTCATGCCGTATTGTTGGTTGGTTTCGCCCCGGTGAGTGCCATATTTGTCCAGAAGAGAATTGGTAATGTGATAAGAGCATATAGAACTAGTCTTTTTGATACCAAGGGTAGATATGATTCGGCTGGCACTGACGACCAGTAAAGAGCAAGTATAGAGGAAAGCAACAAGCTACTAAGAAAGTTGTTGAAATGCGCAGTAATGAGTTAACACGTCTCATAATTATTCCGTGGATTCACGTCATGGGCTCGTACTCATTTGGTGCATTTAACACTCCCTTTATTTATTTTACATATATGGGAAACTTTGTTTAGTATAAGGAAACAATTTTTCTTTCCAAAAATAATGATAGAAACGTAAGTGTATTCAACGTACAGCTTTTCTTGTAGCCAAGATATGAATTGCATTCTTTACTCAATGTATCTTGGCACCCCGGGGAATAAGCAGGTTTCACTCCCTAGTAAGTGGGGGACGAATAATCTCTAGCAAGGGCGCCAAAAAAATCCTTTGGGTATTGTCTGGGTGAATATTATAGAGCGATTATTCTACCTACTAAGTCTCATTATTGAACCGTAGTATCTAAAGATTTTTATACATATCAAAGTTATCTATATTTTATCTTGTATCTATATTTTCATTGGTTCTTTTATTTTTTAAAATGAAAATTATTTTCAAAATTAAGACACTATTTACCTATTGTATTAAAATATTAAGATTGAAGATCTCATTATTTTTGAGTTATAGATATATATTCTGATACTGAGAAATTAAAAATAATAATTTATATTAAAACAAAATGTGATAGAATATTAAAAAATCTAGAATTTAGGTATATCTAACATTAATTGATGAATTGTATTTGACATATCTTTGATATCAAAATTCATTGATGAACAAATCATACTTCTTAGTATCAAACTCTTGAGTTACATTGGCTAAATTAATATCATTAAATTTTATCTTTACATGAGTTTCTTTTTTAACATAACCACTCTTGACACATTTTGAAGATTTAAAGACACTAAAAATTCACTTATAAATTTCAATCAAACTCTAGATACAAAACTCATGACATCATTGTCAATTTTTTGAATAAGATCAATTTCAAGTCATATTTAATGCCATATCACACATTATTAAAATATATATTAAAATTCACCTTTCATATACCACAAATATTTCATAATAATTCTCTATGACAACACCTAAACTAGTGCTTGTATGATACTTCTTACATACCAAGAGCAAAAAAAAGTGTCAAAAAAATTAATGTTGAGAGAGGCAAAGTTACTCAACAATGTGAAGTATTGCAAAGTCAAACACAGTCTACAAACTGGTGCGACTCAACTCAATATGCCTTAATGCTAATGTTAGAGCGAATAAAATATGCTATGAGGAAAACAAATGTGATCGTGGCACATGAAGTATGTTTATTTCAAGACGTTTTACGTTTGGTAAAAGTAACATATCATATTTCATAATTGGAAGTTGAAAACGCAACAACAATGTTATTATTGTTACTATCGAGCTCGAGACATCAAACAAAAAGATCTATTGAATGGAAAAAACCAGATGAGATAGTAAATCTAAAATGATATTATTTCCATGATTTGATCAAGAAGTGCAATGAAAATAGCTATTGTGCAATATGTAAATATTGTGAAAATTGCTCGACAATGAACACAAGGAATTAAAACATCATGACTTGCATGTACATTGAATATGAAAATAGAATTGTGTACATGCGTATTGTAGATTGACGGAGTTTGACACAGTTAGTCATTAATTGCATATCAACTAACATTTGTAACCATCTTTAGTTAGTTAGAACTAAAGCAGAGATTTCTCTAAATGTTGATATAGATACTTTAGCGTGCACTAGTCATAACTGCCGCTTCAACAATCCGCGCGCTTGGTAGATAAAAATAGTTGTATTAGTTGACAGCGTCACGTCAACGATCCGTGTGCTTGTAAGGTAAAGTTTGAGTGTGTTAGTTGTGAGCGCCACGTCATCCATCCACTAAGAGTGGGATGGATGTTGAGGATAAGATCTTATCTCATTGTACTTATTGATGAGAGTTATATAAGGTTAGGAGAATCATTGTGAGATCTCTCATCTTCAGAGTTTATGTTTTCATCTTTGAGTGAAATTTTCTTTAAACCCTAGTGTTTTAGGATTAGAGGTATAATTGATATTTTTGTTGTTGCACAAGTAGCAAACTTTGTCAAAGTTTTTTATTTTTTCAATGAATGAAAACAAATAAGATAGTCATCATTTGCAATTTTTAGACTTATCTATTATCTGTTACAATGCATTCAAAAAATTAAAGTGTTCATATGTGGTTTCAACTATACCGTTATTTCAAGAGGAGTGATTTTGAAATAACTACTAAAAAAGCTATACATCAAATGCTTGCTAGAATTTGGAGATGAAATAAGTACTTCAACGATATGATTTTGATGATTGACAAATGGAAATATGTCTCCAACAACTTGATCTACGCTGTGATCGCCGTGACCAACAAAAATAATGTTTCATAGTCAAACTGCAATGTATAGATTGACCAACTGCAAATGTGTTGCAACAACTGTTGATATTGTTAACCAAAAAAGTTTACTTTCATTGAAAGCAACCGTAGTTTCTTATATAATACTTCAATTTACCATAAGTATTGATTTGACCCGCTTGCATCCAAATATTATATCATTGCGTTGTCTTCATCAGCTTAATGTGATCATGAAGTATATGTTAACTCATGTTTCAATGAAACAAGTATTCAAGAAAAATTGCAAAGTGATAAAATTTTTTTATTATACAATATAGTTCAGGACAAGTGTCAAGAAAACAACATTAGCCAAATCTTGTCAAATATCTGTGAAACACAATGATATTCATAATCCTCGTATATCTTGATGTGACATCATCTCACAAAGACT